ATACTGAAGCATTAATGGTTAAGACAACATTCACAGCTATGGCTAGCAAGAGGCTTGCAGCTTTTAGAAATCCCTAATAGGCCAGGCGTGGTGGCTCACGCCTATAATCCCAGCACTTTGGGAGGCCGAGGAGGGCAGATCACCTGAGGTCAGGAGTTCGAGACCAGCCTGACAAACATAGAGAAACCCCATCTCTACTAAAAATACAAAATTAGCCGGGTGTGGTGGCACACACCTGTAATCCCAGCTACTTGGGAGGCTGAGGCAGGAGAATTGCTTAAAACCGGGAGGAGGAGGTTGTGGTGAGCTGAGATTACAACATTGCACTTCAGCCTGGGCAACAAGAGTGAAACTCCGTCCCCCAACGCCCCCCAACTCCCCAAAAAAGAAAGCCCTAATAATCTGTTTTTCACCACCCCACAAAAGATATTAAGAGGTACATAGAAAGATACACTAAATGCATCTTCCTTTAGCAATGGCTGGTTTCCCAATATTCCTAGCTCAAAATTCTGTTATGTTTTCTTTGTGTAAGAATAGCACAATATTGTAATTATACCAAACATTGCTAAAAACTTTAAAACGACCTCATATAATTGCAATTTCCTAAACTATAGCTTATATAAGGAAGGGGTAATTTGACTCTTTTTCAGTACCCTCAGGCTGAATGCTCTTGGCCAAGATGGGGTAAGATAGCAATCAAATACCGTAATTTTAAAGTTATTATGTAATGGATATTTTAAAAAATTCTCAAAAAGCTTATGCATTTTATGAATTTCAAAACTTCAGTTTAACCTCTGGATCACATTTTAAAATCATTTAATGTTAACTTTCATAGCACTAATCTCTGCATGACAATGTTTTGACAAGGATCTTATTTTAACTCCACATTTTATGATGGTAAGCAGAACTACATTCTAAGCATATTACTTAGAATATATATAAATCATAAGCAGGGATGGGCTGAATATCTCATTGAAAATCAATCTGTATCTTACAGCACAAAGAAAAACAGCCAAGGTCAGGTTAGACATCCCTAAAGCTCAAAGCTCCTTCCAAAACGTTTTACCTTTTAAATTTAATTACTCTTGAACCTTATTTATTTAATTGCTGCTTCAACATAGCACATGGCAAATATGCCTATGTTCACCATAAAAAGCCTAGTGGCCATGAAGACAGGTTTACCAGTAGATAAGTCACTCAGCTACCAGAAGTGTTACTAGTTTTTCATTCAACAAATGTGCACTTCGTGTCATGCACAGGGCTGTATCATGCTGCTATGGAATGAAAGTGAACATTCAGAGGTGGTAAAGCACAGTGGTAAAAGCAAGGCCAAGGCTCAGATTCAAATCCCTGCTCCCCCTTACACTAGCTGCTTGCCTTTGAGCAAACTACTAACTCACTCTGATGCTCAGTTTTCTTACCTGCAAGATGGGGGTAATTCTGGTAAACTACTCATTGTGTTGTTTGAACAACTGAATGTGTCACAATGTATAAAGCGCCAAGCAGGGTGCTCAGCACATAGCCAGGTCCTCACAGGAGGTAAACTCTTAAGACTGTTAGCAAAGATTCATCCATGCCGGGAACAGCACCATGCGCATTAGAGAAGTCACTTCTGCTGGCCTCACACTGCCTTGTATGTCAGGTCGTATTATTTCCCACAGCTTTACAGACAAGAGAACTGGGGCAAGGAAGGGCTCTCAAACCTCTATAAAGGAGTCTCGAACTTCTAAAGGGTCTATAAAGAATGGATAAATAGCCTGCTAGATACAACTACCTGAATGACTCATAGAAGCCTAATTAAATGTAAAAGGCAGGTTAGAGAAGATCCTATACACAATACTATATTATTTTGCAAAATTGAAACATTTTGCCCATTTTAGTAGCAAGAAAATAAGACTTTAACATTAAAAGCCGGCCGGGCGCGGTGGCTCAAACCTGTAATCCCAGCACTTTGGGAGGCCGAGACGGGCGGATCACGAGGTCAGGAGATCGAGACCATCCTGGCTAACACAGTGAAACCCCGTCTCTACTAAAAAAAATACAAAAAAACTAGCCGGGCGAGGTGGCGGGCGCCTGTAGTCCCAGCTACTTGGGAGGCTTTAGCAGGAGAATGGCGTTAAAAACCCGGGAGGCGGAGCTTGCAGTGAGCTGAGATCCGGCCACTGCGCTCCAGCCTGGGCGAGACTCCGTCACAAAAACAAAAAACAAAAAACAAAAAAACATTAAAAGCTTGTTTCTGTTTTTCTTCATAATGCATTTGGCATGGTAAGCATACTAGAACAGAGGTCCCCAGCCAGGCACAGTGGCTCACGCCTGTAATCCCAGTACTTTGAGAGGCTGAGGGGGCGGATCACTTGAAGTCAGGAGTTCGAGACCAGCCTGGTCAACATGATGAAACTCTGTCTCTACTAAAACGACAAAAATTAGCTGGGCATGGTACACGCCTGTAGTCCCAGCTACTTGGGAGGCTGAGACAGGAGTATCACTTGAACCCGGGAGGTGGAGAGTGTGGTGAGCCAATATTGTGCCACTGCACTTCAGCCTGGGCAACAGAGTGAGACTTGATCTCCAAAAAAACAAAAACAAAAACAGAGATCCCCAACCCCCTGGTCCACAGCCCCTGTAAGGAACTGGGTCGCACAGCAGTAGGTGAGCAGCCGGCAAGTGAGCGTTACTGCCTGAGCTCCACCTCCTGTCAGATCAGCGGTGGCATTAGGTTCTCATAGGAGTGTGAATACTACTGTGAACTGCGCATGTAAGGGATCTAGGACCGATGCCTTATGATCTGAGGTGGAACCGTTTAATCCCAAAACCATGGAAACGTTGTCTTCCATGAAACCAGTCCCTGGTGCCAAAAAGGTGGGGGACCAGTGTATTAGAACACAGCACACACAGTAGGTCAGATGTAGGTCTTGGGATTCCCTATGACACTTGGAATTTAAGGGTTATATCACAATGCAAGTTAATTTAGAGTTATTCTTTTTTAAATGAAAAGTCCTTGATTGGGCCCTTAGACGATACCCTGACTTAATAAGATTGGTTGTAAAGCAAACACATTTATCAAAGTTGCCCAAGTTCTGCATTATTGACTAGCACTTTTATTAAAGGAAAAGAATTGAGAGTAGAAATCAAATTCACTATATGAAACCATAGACTGTACTTGGCTGGGTAAAAGTAACATATACAAAATGACTTAGCTACTCCATTTTTCAATAAAGTTTGCCTCTGGTTTCTCTCCCCTTGGTACTGATGATCTTTCCCAAATAAGGAGTCAAATCCCTCAAATTTTGCTTAACATCCCTTTTGGCACCAAGAGTATATTTGAGATGTCAAATATGCCAGCTGAATTTAAGACCATGTGTCTTTAATTTTAATGTTTAATGCCACTGAAGATTCTCTGCACTGTCTGTAGACAATTTTCATGTTGGAGTTTCTTCTACTCTTTTGCATTCCAGAGTGCAAGGCTGAGGCAAGACAGGCAAAGGCCCTGAAATGGCATGAGGCACCAGTGATGTGCTATTTCCCAGTGCTTCCTGCTTTCTCCCAGGTAACAAGGAAACATTTTAAATGAGCCTTTCTAGAAGGATTACCTGAACTCAAAGGAGAGTTTTCTTTTTCTTTTTCTTTTTTTTTTTTAGGCAGAGTCTTACTCTGTCACCCAGGCTGGAGTGTAATGGTGTGATCTTGGCTCACCACAACCTCCACCTTCCAGGTTCAAGCAATTCTCCTTCCTCAGCCCCCCAAGTAGCTGGGATTACAGGTGCATGCCACCAACCCCAGCTAATTTTTGTATTTTTAGTAGAGACGGGTTTCATCATGTTGGCCAAGCTGATCTCAAGTGATCCACCTCCCAAAGTGCTGGGATTACAGGCATAAGCCACGGTGCCCGACCTCAAAGGAGAGTTTTCAAAACAATCAGAGCCCCCCTGATTTCTCAGATCACCTCTATGTATAATGGTCCCAGACATCTTTGTACAAGGAGGACACACAAGCAGTAGTGTTTCCCGTTGTCAGAACTCAAATTCCTCAGTGAGTTTCATTTACCAAAAAAAAAAAAAAAAAAGACGGAAAAAAGTATACTCACAGAGGTATTCAGCCCTTTAAAGAATGAATTATGTTTTTGAAACCTTATCCTATAGGTGAAGATCCTTGGCATCCTACAGTAGGAATAGTAGCTGCCAACCCCTGACTCTTCTATTTGTGCCACAGACCGTGCCTTCTCCATCATCACTGCACTCTAGAACAAGCCTGGAGACAGGTATTGGAGAGACCTAGATGTAGGGGAGATGAAGTGACCCACCCAAGGTCATAGACAGCACATGGCAAAGAGCAATTCAAAACCAGACAATTGGAGTCTGAAACCTCATATGCGCGGCTACTCAGAAGAAAATCCATCTCCATTATCTGGATTTTAATTGTATTATAGTGGAAAATGACACATGAATTACATTGGCATCAAAATGAACTCGAAAAATATTACTCTAACTTAAGTCCACTGAAACTCTGAAAGACAGATTGTAAAATGTATTAGTACTATGTTGATCTTTAAGAAATTCTGTTCCTAATTTTATAAAATATTTTTAATTTTACGAAATATTTTACTTATACAGAAGAATATGTGTAAGTTCAAAAACATGAACATCATCAATATACAAAATTCAGGATGGTGGTACTTTTTTACTTTTACTTTATTTATCTTGCTTTTTTTTCTTCCTTGTCTTTGGTTCCTGTGTTAAGGATGGTAGGTACTTCTAAGCACTGACTTCTAACAGCTTACTATTCCTAAAGCACTGTGTAGAAAGACAGAAACCAGGCTTTTCATTGAAAGTCTTCAGTTACTTTATTGGAATAAAGGGGGGAAAAGGCTTTCTAGCTACTTAATTCTCATTTGTTTTGCATTTTTCTTCTGAAAACTCAATTCTAAAAAATTGCTAAATCATGTACTCCTTTTTCTGCTGAGCCAGGCCATACAAATCTTTCCATTTCTATTATCTTGACAGGCGAAGGTTCCTCTCTTCATGTCATAAACATCTTTCCATTACTTTCCTATTTAATGAACATACTAGCCATACATACAGGACCTACCTGCCTCTAATCCAGTAAGTACACTGAAGGTATTCCAGGTAAAGACATTTTATTCAAAGAATTTTATAAAAATATTAAAGTCAATAGACAATGTAGAATTTGACCATAAAATTAAATCATTTTGGATGGGGGCAGTGGTTCACGCCTGTAATCCCAGCACTTTGGGAGGCTGAGGCAGGCGATCACTTGAGCCCAGGAGTTCAAGACCAGCCTGGGCAACGCAGTGAGACCTCGTCTCCACAGAAAATTGACCAGTTGGCTGGGTGTAGTGGTATCTGCCTGCAGTTTCAGCTACTCAGGAGGCAGAGGTGGGAGGTTCGCTCGAGCCCGGGAGGTGGAGGTTGCAGTGAGCTGTTAGCCTGGGCGACAGAACGAGACGCTGTCTCAAAAAATTAAAAAGAAAACAAAACGAAAAGAAGAAAATTAAACCCTTTCTTTGGTTTTCAAAGTTTCGAGGAAACTTCTTTTATGACAACTGCTCGGAATTGTACCTAACAGTTCCTAGGATTGACTTAGCAAGTAGGAAGTCAAGAGAGACTCTGACTTTCCTGAGGACTGTGCACCCATGTCAGGGGAAGCTCAGAAGGAGCAGGTAAAGGAGAGATGACACTTTTGGAAGAACAGCCGGCCCCAGCTGCACTTGCCTTGGATGCTGCAGAACCTGGGACAACGGGAACAGCACTCTCGGCTGCCTTAGATCTATGGAGGCCCGCCGGCCCTTTTCATAGGGCTGGGCTGACAACCACTGATGCACGTATCACCAGGGCAGAAAAGTCTCACAAACTGTAAGAGTTAAGGAAAAAAGACCATTATGCAAACAAATTCTAAGATGATTAAAGGCCTCAATGCAAGAGACAACATTTGTAAGGCAATACAAACGATTATAACCTCCCAAAGCAGAAATTATAAAGAAAAAGGGTGGACAAGAAAAGGTACATCAAGCATATTTAAATGATAAGCCATACAGGGAGAAGATATTTGTAACTCATAATGGCAAGGTATTCGTATTCGGAATCTATAAAGGATTTCCATTAATTAGTGAGAAAAAGGTAAACAGCACAATACAAAACAGACAATTCACAAATGCCCAGAAACAGCCATAAAGATGCTTAACCTCACAACTATAATGAACTACCATCAGATTAGCAAGAGCTAAAAAAATCTAACAATAGAAGTGTTGAGCCGGTCATGGTGGCTCACGCCTGTAATCCTAGCACTTTGGGAGGCCGAGGTGGGCGGATCACCTGAGGTCAGGAGTTCAAAACCAACCTGGCCGACTTGGCAAAATCCCATCTCTGCTAAAAATACAAAACTTAGCCCAGTGTGATGGTGTGCACCTGTAATCCCAGCTACTTGGGAGGCTGACGCAGGAGAATTGCTTGAATCTGGGAGGTGGAGGTTGCAGTGAGCTGAGATCATGGCACTGCACTCCAGCCTGGGCAATAGACAGAGACTCTGTCTCAAGAAAAAAAATAAAAAATATCAGGACAAACGTTGAGAGGTCAGAAATCTCACACACACAATTGGTAGTGATATAAATTGGTATAACGTTGCAGAACAATTTGGCTTTATCTATTAAGTTGTTGCTAAGCATACTTTCAACCCTCCAAATCTCACTCCTGTATATAGTCCCTAGAAGACGTTTTGGACTAAATCTCAGAGACATGGACAAGAATATTCCCTGTAGCATTATTTGTAACAGCAGAACACCGGAAGCAATCTGAAAGCCCCTTGACAAATAATGCACAAATGCACGTGCTATATGCATGCACGGAAGACGAAACTGCAAGCAAAATGAGGCTTTTTGGATCACAGCAACATAGACAAATGCAAAACTGTTATGTTGCACAAAAATATCAAGTTATAGAGCAGAGGTTGGCTAGTATAGCTCCCAGGACAAATCCAGGTGTCTCTGAGTTTTGAATATGGTCTGTATCCTTTTTTTTAACATGTTAAATTATTAAGTTTTTAAAAATTATCCTTTTAAAAAGTGTTCTTTTTCTTTCCCTTTCTCTCTTTCTCCTTCCTTCCTTCTTTCCTTCCTTCCTTCTCTCTCTCTCTCTTTCTTTCTCTTTTAAAAAGTATTCTCTCTCTCTCTCCTTCTCCCTCTCTCTCTCTCTTTCTTTCGAGACAGGGTTTCACTCTGTCATCCATAGTAGCTTACCAAGTAGCTAGGTGTGATCATAGCTTGCTGCAGCCTTGAACTTTTGGACTCAAGTGATCCTCCCACCTCAGCCTCCTGAGTAGCTGGAACTACAGGCATGTGCCACCATACCTGGCTAATTAAAAATTTTTTTTAATAGAGATGGGATGTTGCTATGTTGCCCAGTCTGGTCTTGAATCCCTGGGGTCAAGCAATCCTCCCACCTTGACCTCCAAAAGCAGTGGAATTACAGGCATGAGCCACTGTGCCTGGCCACCTTTTAAAATGTTGCCAACCATATCAGAAGAGTATTATTACATGTGAAAATTATATGAAATTCAAATGTTAGAAACCATTAATAACATCTGTTGGAACACAGCCAGACCCACTCCTAAACATGTACTAGTTTCTGAATTCATGCTTTACCTATGGCTGCTTTCTAAATTGAGTACTTGGGACAGAGACTCTGTAACTCAAACTATTTATGATCTTGCCATTTACAGAAAAAGTGCACTGACGTCGTTATAGAACAATGCAGTCAGTTAACATCTATTAATATATAACATTTGAAAACACATACTAAATACCAAGAAAAGCCGCACATCTGTGGTTCTAATGTGCAATGAGGTGCCGTGAGGCATTGCAGCAAACTCAGAGGCACTGTGGGATATTTTAAATTTTTGAGGGAAACGCGGCGATACAGGACATCATTGGACACTGCAAATACTACTCATATGAGGTTCTTCACTGCTTCAACAATAGTGCTCTACATCCCTTTCAATGACATCATATATTTGCAAAGCAAAGTTTTTGGCAGGTACCGCAGCAAAATGCAAAAATCGTGTGAAAATCAACGTGGAGCAGGAAATGAGGTGCGGGTGTCAACTGATTACAAAGGGTCAGAAGTTGTCTGGTGCCTGACAAGGACACATATCTCATTCATAACGTATGGTGGTAATTTAAAAATGAAACGATATAATTTTTTCCTTTGAATTCATATGTATTTTTTTTTCAGGCAGCTACTAAGTTGTAAGGACATAAATATTCATTAAGTTGTTTGGACCTAACTATTTAATAAATGGACATGTTAGGTATTTCCTTTGCCTGGGGTACCATGAAAAAAATTGCTGGGCCATTAATGGTCATAAGCAGAGAAAGTCTGAGAACCTCTGCTACAGATCTTTAGTGTACATATATATATGTGGACAAAGTAGAAACATACACCCGGAAATGATAACCACTCAAATCAGGAGAGAAGCAGAAAAAAGAACGGGATCAGGAGGGTCCACAGGAACTTCAACTGTGTCTCTAATATTTGATTTCTTCTCTTCTCTCTTTTCTTTCCTTTCCTTTTTTTTTTTTTTTTTTTTTTTTAAGAGACAGGGTCTCACTCTGTTGCCCAGGAGAATTTAACTGCTGGGCTTAATTGATCCTTCTGCCTCAGCCTCCCAAGTAGCGAGGACTACAGGCATGGGCCACCATGCCCAGCTAAACGTATCTCTTTAAAAAAACAAAAAAACCAAAGGACACACAGCGACATGTTAAGATTTTGATGAAATAGCGTGGTGGGAACATTGGTGTTTGTGACATTGCTCTGCATACTTTCCTGTTTCGTGTATATGCAGAACATTTTGCTTTTTTATTTGTTTTTAAAGGACAGAGGAGCAGCTTGAAAGAGGGCTACTTTACACAAAAGCATGGAAAGAGAAAGGTGAGGTAGGACAAAGGCCGAACAGGCAGTGAGGGGAGGAATGAGCTTCGGCACCAAGCCACATAGGAGAAATGGGAGCTTTGGAGACGACACAAAACAACCCTCCCCGAGAGTCAGGCCTTCCTGAAGACAGGGGCTGAAAAACACGACCCGTGATTAGCAGTTTCCTGAGTTAGCACATGACCTTCAGCCAGAGTCTCTAATAAGCCAGCACTTCTCATCCTTGATTTAATTATGAATAAATTTACTAAAGACAAAAAACCTGAAAGTATCATAATAACAAAAGTGGAGCCCAGGCTGAGATCAGTGTTTTTAAATAATGTAAACAGGGCAAGGTCTGGGAGAATTAAAGCTTAGAGCTGTAGGATCACTTGACGTCAGATTTTTTTTTTTTTTTTAAAGGGTGGATGAAATCATGAGAATGTTTAGTTTTGGTCTGGTTTTCTTCTACCAAACTGATGGAATATTTAGAATTTCAGGGCAATAAAAGTGGAAAGAGAGAACAAGCCAGTAGCTGGGTATAGCCACCAGCAGAGTCCTCTGAAGGCCAAGAAGATTGATTATAAAACGTCCCCTAGGCCGGGCCTGGTGGCTCATGGCTGTAATCCCGACACTTTGAGAGGCAGAGGTGAGCGAATCGCCCGAGGTTAGGAGTTTGAGACCAGCCTGGCTAACATGGAGAAACTCTGTCTCTACTAAAAATACAAAACTAGCCGGGCATGGTGGTGCGTCCCTGTAAGCCGAGCTACTCAGGGGGCTAAGGCAGTAGAATCACTTGAACCTGGGAGGCAGAGATTGCAGTCAGCCAAGATCGCGCTACTGAACTCAAGCTTAGGAGACAGATGAGACTCCGTCTCAAAAAAGTAAAATAAAAAAATAAAAAAACTGTCTCCCAAAAATACAGGTTGAGAGGTAGGGCAAGGAAACTGAGTGGGACTTGATAAGGTCATCTTTAATCAGTAACCTACTTGGGAGGAAGGAATGTTAAAGTAGGAGAGAGAAAAGAAAAAAGGACCAAAGTTACCCACCACTGTTGGCACACATTACGATATATTGGCACAATATAGTTATATTGGTACTTCCTGTAACTATGACGATCTGCTACGGACAGCTCACCTGAAATTCTTCTTAGTTTTTTGAGACAGAGTTTTGCTCTTGTTGCCCAGGCTGGAGTGCAATGGCGCCATCTCAGCTCACTGCAGCCTCCACCTCCCGGGTTCAAGCGATTCTCTTGCCTCAGCCTCCCTAGTAGCTGGGATTACAGGCATGTGCCACCCCGCTTGGCAAATTTTGTATTTTTAGCAAAGACAGGGTTTCACCATGTTGGTCAGGCTGGTCTTGAACTCCGGACCTCAAGTGATCCACCCATCTCAGCCTCCCAAAGCGCTGGGATTATAGGAGTGAGCCACCGCACCTGGCTGAAATTGTTTTTTAACAGGAGAGGATGGCAACCAGGTAAAAAGCATTGAGAAAAACACTGAGAGCAAAATAGCCGCCTGATCACCCACAGGCTTTGGCAAGAGGGAGCCCTCGGGTCACATCCTCTGTCACTTATTCTGATTGATCTTGGACATGTATAATCATCTCGCTAAGCTTCTGTTACATCATCTGTAAGATGAGGATAGTAACACTGATCCCATAGACGGTTTTAAGGATTGAGTAAGAAGGTATATGATAGTCTCAGCACCGGTCTAATGCTCAAGAATGGCTTAGAAAATGGGGGCATTTTTAATGAAAATATTAACAAGGCTTTGTTTCCCAATCCCATTCAATTTGTCTTGGAACTGCTATGTCTATTCATTCTGATCTCTAAATCCTAATCCTAAAATGTCTGAGGCAAAGATCACCCTGTGTTTTAATTGGGCACTTGTCTCATATTTCTCCTCTGCTGCATGAGTGTTTATGCTCAAGTACCCAGGAAGCACCTGGGGAACACAGCCGGGTCTGTGTGATTCTCTACAAAGAGCAAGCAGCAGAGTTGCAATCGATTAGGTAGCTTTTTTTTTTTTTTTTTTTTTTCTGAGACGGAGTCTTGCTCGCCCAGGCTGGAATGCAGTGGCACTATCTCAGCTCACTGCAAGCTCCGCCTCCCGGGTCCACCAGCCTGGTCAACATGGTGAAACTCCACCTCTATTAAAAGTACAAAAATTAGCTGGGTGTGGTAGCCCCTGCCTGTAATCCCAGCTACTTAGGAGGCTGAGGTAGAATAGCTTGAACCTGGGAGGTAGAGGTTGCAGTAAGCCGAGATAATGCCACTGCACTCCAGCCTGGAAGACAGAATGGGACTCCATCTAAAAAAAAAAAAAAAAAGGAAGTATATATATCCATATGCATGAGTCTATATTTAATTATGGGAGGAGTTGTAGATGTAAGTCTATCCATGAGTCCACCAGTGACTGATGACCCTCAGTTAATGACACCTGCCTATAAGGATACACAACTGCATTCTGCACTCCCCTGCAAAGACAAGATCTTTACCTGAAAACCAGAATCAAAACCCACGGAGAGAGTAGAAAACAAATTAAAAAATCCAAAGTTCATGGGTAAGTTTGAAATTCCTACAGTTTAAAGATGAGATAATAATGTTTTTAAAATCCAGGAACTCAATATTGCTTTTTCTTTTCTTTCTTTCCTTTTGCTTTATTTTTTAAATGTAATACATGATTAGAATTCAATGCCAAATATCTGTTTGCCTTTACAGCATGTAAATGGAAGTTAGGTGGACTCCCATGAAGACTGCTGACTAACGGAAGAAACAGCCACAAAGGTGATCACAGCAGTTTTTGAAAAATTCTCATAAAGTGTTTTGCAAATTCATGCAATTATTTAAATAAATGTCACTCTGTTTTAAGTCTAAATGAACTACTGATTCCATTATCTTAGACTAATTATTCAGAATCTACAAAATAATTACTTCCTTGCATGTGCTTTTTGTTAGAACAAAAATTAGACTAAATCAGCAAAACTGGTAATATGGAGACAGTTCTATTTAAGAGATGCCCATCATTCTTTCAAATTCTTAGTTAAGAACCTTAACTAATATAGTACTTAATCAAGTGCATTGTACTTACCACTGAAGTTCTAGTCTCTCACATCACATCATCAATTACTGGGTGGCAAGAAACCTGTCTTACTCATCTTTGATTCCCAGCTCCTAGCAGATAGTACTTGACGTACAGCAGAAGTTCAATAAATGCTCATTAAAAGGGTACTGAAGTCAATTAAGTTTCAAAGGACTTAAATATATTTCCGATTACTTCTTTTCCAGAGTATACATAGAAGTGAAATTGCTAATCATTTGTTCATTTTCAGTTCTACCTAGAAATTCCACCAAATTGCTTGTTTGCTGCGAATCACCTTTTCAAATTCTCTATTTTTGTATTGGATTATTTGTCTTTCTCTTATCAGTCTTTAGTCTTTAGTGTTTTACGTATTCTCAATGCTAATCATTGTCTATTATCTTTGCAAATGTTTCCTTCCAATCCGTCACTTGTTTTTTAACCTCGTATCTTTTATCACATACCGTTTACTTTTTAACGCAGCCCAAATTACCAATATTTTTCTCTTTGGTTTGAGCTTTTCACGTTTTAAGAGATCCTTTCCTGTTATGAGATCATAAAGATAGTCTACTATAAATGACAACTTTCTGGAGAACATGAATTCCTGCTCAGACTTCAGAAACACCTCAGATGTGCCTACTGCATTTAGCTTCTGTAGAAGGATGTTGAAATCAAGGTCTTTTTGTCTCACTTTTGTTTCAGGCCTCAAATTGGTGTCAGTTTGCGCACATGCCAAAGGATGGTGCTGGCCGAACTGGCAGGGTTTGCAAAGCAGTTTGAAACAGATTTTGCATGCCTTAGCCCATTGAGGCTTCAAAAGGGTTGACAGGTTAGAACCTGGGAAAGAATTTCTTCAAAGAAAGTTATCAGTGTGCCATACCCAGCTCCCCTCCCAGCGCCCAGTGAAGAGGATGCAAAGCTACTTTCCCCTTTTCTTATTTTTATTTTTATTTTTTTTGAGACAGAATCTCTCTCTGTTGCCGAGGCTGGAGTGCAATGGCACGATCTCAGCTCACTGCAACCTCCCCCTCCCGGGGTTCACGTGATTCTCCTGCCTCAGCCTCCCAAGTAGCTGGGCTAACAGGTGCCTCTTACCACGCCCGGCTAATTTTTTTTTGTTTTTTTTAGTAGAGATGGGGTTTCACTGTCAGGCCTCTGAGCCCAAGCTAAGCCATCATATCCCCTGGGACCTGCACATATACATCCAGATGGCCTGAAGCAACTGAAGATCCACAAAAGAAGTGAAAATAACCAGGTCCTGCCTTAACTGATGAAATTCCGCCATTGTGATTTGTTCCTGCCCCACCCTAACTGATACAATATAGTCTGCCCTGCCCTTAAGAAGGTACTTTGTAACATTCTTCCTGGCCCTTAAGAATGTACTTTGTACCCCTATCCCAAATCTATAAGAACTAACGATAATCCCACCACCCTTCGCTGACTCTCTTTTCGGACTCAGTCCACCTGCACCCAGGTGAAATAAATAGCCTTGTTGCTCACACAAAGCCTGTTTGGCGGTCTCTTCACACGGACACACATGACATTCACCATGGTGGCCAGGCTGGTCTTGAACTCCTGACCTCAAGTGATCCACCTGCCTCAGCCTCCCTACTTCCCCCTTTTCTTTTTCTTAAGCCACAAGTGAGGACCAGAAGACCAGTTGGCAAGGCTCAAGGTGTGTCCCCAGCCAGAGGTCAGAGGTCTCTGGTACCCGAGACCAGGTGTGGAACCAGAGGTAGGAAAGTCTAAATGAGGTACTGCTCAGAGGGCTTCTGCCAAAAGTGTGAGGACCTCTGCTGGCAGAGGCTACACGGGCACCATCTCATGCCAAAGCTTCAACCTAGGAGGGGCCAGGGCCAGCCTAAGTGCAAGAGGAGGGTGACAGAGAAGCAAGCAGCCACCTTCCCCTTCCCACTGTCAGCCAGAGGAGGCCCATGTCGGGGAGGAGAGGAGCTCAAGTCTGAGAGACACTTGGAGTTTTTGGTTTTGATATAAAACTGGATGTGCATTTTTAATTTTAGGGGCTACTCTTATGATTGAAAGTGACTATAGGAATTAAAAAATACATATGTTAGAGGGACTAGATATTAACTGAGAATGAGGGGAAACTGTTATAAACTTCATCCAAGGGCAAGGAATGAACCAGTCCCACACTACAGGCTTGACCAAGTAATGAGGAAAGAACATTGTCTCCTGACCATGCCCCATTCCCACTGTCCAATACACTGGCTTTGCCACCAGCATTGCAATAGAGCCACAACATGGACACACCACCTTCAGGAGAGTTCAACATTACAGGGCTAGAGTTCCATGGTATGTATTTACGAATATAAGTCATTGCCATCACAAATTTAGACATCATACAGCATGAGTTTTAGACATTAAAATATATTTGTACATCCATGTTCATAGTGGCATTATTCACAAGAGCCAAAGGTGGAAACAAGTTAAATGTCCAACGAGGGATGAGTGGATAAACAAAGTAAGGTCTATCCATACGATGGAATATTATTCTGCCTTAAAAACGAAGAGAATTCTGACACCTGCTGCAACATGGATGAACCTTGAGGACATTATGCTAAGTGAAATACGTCAGTCACAGAAGGACAAATACTGCATGATTCCACTCACATGGGGGTATCCAGGAGTCAACTTCATTGAGACAGAAAGTAGAAGACTTCTGCCAGGGGCTGGGGGCAGGGGAATGAGAAATATTTAATGGGCATGGGACTTTGGTTCTGCAGCCTGGTTGCACAACAACGTGGGTGTACTTCGCTACTGAAAGTACACTCAAAAATGGTGAAGATGGCAACTTTTATGTTATGTGTATTTTATAACAACTATAAATAAAATCATCCAAAAAATAAAAGGATCTAAATAAAAAAGAAAATGTAACCTTCATCAGTAGTGTATCAATAGTGGGGATAACAATGATAGCCAGGAGTGGCCAAGAAGGATTGAGTCTTACCATGTGTCAGGTGCCAGGACTCAACCCTGTGATCTCATTCATGCCTCATTTCAAACCTACCAAGTCCTTTCGAGAGGGAAGCCCTGTCCAAAGCCCTGTTTTACAGGTAAGGAAACCAAGGAAGAGAAGCGTTCATGTGCCCAAGGTTATCTGAAAGCAGTTGAGGTTAGGGCTTGCCCTCTGAATCATCTGGCAATGGACAGATTTCATCCTCATGAAAAATTCCCCCTCTTATGGCATCTTAGACTAGATGAGATCATAGAAAGAATGAGTGTAATTGCTGACCTGCACATAGTTCAGATTTTACAAAGCATTTTCTCACTTGATCCTATTCATTAAAATACTGCAGGTAACACAGGTATTCTCTTTTTATTAAATAAAAAATTGAGCCCTAGAGAAATGAAAACACACTGCCAGTCAGGGCTCCAATTCCACAGCGTCTACCTCTGAGTCCACAGCTACACGTCCACATCCAACTCCTCATCTGGTCCAACTTCTCATTTTTCAGATGAGAATGTCTACAAGGGACACACCCAGAAAGGCTAATGGCTTGTTCAAGGTCACACAGAGAGCTCATTTATTTTGTATACATCATCGTTTATATCTTTAAAAATATTCTGCCATGATAACATGTATTTTATAAATATGTGTTTGACAAAGTAAAAACTGGTACGGGCAGAGATCTCTATCACATAAAATAGAGTGCTTCCTCCTAGAAGCTACTTTATTTGCAGAGCTGATGCATCAGAACCACCACTTCACTTAAGCACCCAACTTTCCAGTGCCCGCCCTGACCCAGCCTCCTCGTCCATTAGCTCTACAATTAGGCAGCGATCAATTGAGCAAATTCACTTAGACAGCACATCTAGCCACTCTTGCAGTGGATTTGCTACCGAAGCAGCAAAGTACATGAGAGCTGCAGAATACAGATTGTGGAGGAATGGAACTCCATCAAACCTCATCTGATCCTGACTGCCGGTCCACGAGGAATTCTTAAAAGAGTCTCAATAACCCTGAATGAACTTTGTGATGTCTGAGCATAAAATGCAGTGCTAAGTTCTTTTGTCCAGCATACTCTTTTCTAATAAAATAACTCTTTTGAGTTTGATCCAAAACTGATGACAAGAGTGAAGAGATTGCTATCCCTGATTATAGGCATACGTAAGGTTAATGGGAATTATCTGTTAGCACGGGAAGTCTGCCAATGCAATCCCTCATATGTCAGATTAAGGGACTCCACCACGAATGCTTGTATTTTGGTTTTGTCCTTTGTTTCCTTGCTGCCTTAGTATCATGGGTGAGACTGGGGCTGGTACTGACTTAGTAAACTCTGTGAGAGTCACCCCTTCTTTCTAGCTGGAATATGCAAGAAAAGCCAAAGAGGAACAGGTTCTACAAAGAGCTTGACAGCAGCAAAAGGTGTGCAGTCCTACCAATTAACATTTCTAAGTCTGCTGGTTGGGAATCTCTCCTACATTAGCTCACAAAAAACAAGGAGAAACTGTATATGGAAATAGACCCATGACTTCAAGTTATCAGTACTACATAGTAAGGGTAGTAACGGCTGACAGTCAATGAGCACTTTCTCTTATGAAATTACCATTAGACAGTACACTCCACAAGGGCAGGGGCTAAGGCTGGTTGTTTTAATTTTATTTTTTTCACAGAGGCAGGGTCTTGCTATGCTGCCCAGGCTGGACACAAACTCCTGGGCTCGAGCAATCCTCCTGCCTCAGCTTCCTGAGTAGCTGGGCTTAGAGGTCTATGCCACCTGCGCCTATCTCTTTTGCTTACCACTGGATCCCTAGCTCTCAGTAGCATGCCTTCTAAG